CCCTACATATGGTTTTCCTATGTATACATAGCTATGATAAAGTATAATTTATAAATTAGGCACAGTAAGAGATGAACAGCAACAACTAATATCAAAATAGAGCACTTAGAACAATATGCCAGCATCACTACTATTGCGCTTTAGGGCCACTGTTAAGTAAAATAAAGATAAGTTGTACACATAACTGCAACACCTTGACAGCTGATTTGATCATCAAGAAGGCTACTAAGTGACTAAAGGGCAGTAGCATAGACAACATGGATGCACTGGACAAAGGGCTGAGTCACATCCTGGCAGGACTAAGCGGGACAGTACAAGAATTCATCACCTACTCCTGGTGTGCAATTTAAAACGTGAATTATTTATTTCTGAAATCTTCCATTTAATAATTTTGGACTGTGGTCTACCATAGGTAACTGAAATTGCACAAAGTGAAATTACAGATGATAGGGACTGCTGTGTGTGCATATGTGTGTGTGTGTGTGTGTGTGTATTATGTACATACATATATATATATACACACACACAAACACACATATGCAAACATGTGAGAAGAAAATGTGATCAGTGAATGAAAACATGGAAAAAGAGGCAATAAGACACAGATAGACATTAGGTACATATGAGCTACAGCAGTTTTTTTTGTTTTGTTTTGTTTTGTTTTTTTGCAATATTCCAAATTAACATCTTTCTACTTATTGCTAAGGATTATTACACATGAAGTGAAGGTCTTTTTTCTGGAACAGTGGGTGCACTGGGGCTCCTTTTCTAAAGTTACAGAGAAAGAACTTTTTTTACGTAGTTACAAGAATGTAAAAGTGTGTTGAACTGGCAGAAGGAAGGGAAAGATGCAAAAATACTAAGAAATGAACTAGTTAATACCTATACTCACCCTTCAAATTTGAAAGCAAATGCTACCACCCTTGATACCTTGCCCAACTCTGTCAAGCAGAGTGAAAGAGGGCTTTGGTACAACTCATCCAATTATGAATTGAGAGTTCTCTTAGAGAATTTCCTTTCCTAAAAGACCATTCTGAAGGGGAAAGGTGAGTAACTGAGGCAGCAGTGATACCCATGTGGGAAGAGAAGCATTAGAGGGCTAAGAATCCTTAAACAGCTAGATCAGGAAGAAGGATGTCCGTCACCCTAGAAGGTAACACATTCCTGGCCAATCTGAAATATTAAACTCCTAGATGCCTCCTATTCTAGAAAAAAGATGGTCTATATTCACTGCTCCATTTGGAATTTCCATAGCAGTAGAAATAAATTGAAACTGGTTCCCCAGAGAGATCTGGGTTAAATCCCAACTTTGCACTGTCAGTATTTCCTACGGTGTCCTTAGGATTTTCTTGAGATTTCTACATGAAGTTACTTCTTATCTCCCCAGAAGAGACTGAACATAATTTCTTTCCCTTGGAGCAGACAAAAGACTAGATAATAATGTGAGCTCCAACTGTGCAACTACTAATGTTGCATAATCTCTCATGTCTAGAATGAGGAAGATAATGTCTGTCCATTACCTACCTCGTAGTGTTGTTATAAGGCTAATAAAATATCATACCCCAAACTGTATATGAGATTTAGAAAGGAACAGGATTATAAGTATGTGACATGCTTAGTTATACTCAAAGAACACCTGGATGAAAAGAAAGCTTCCCTGGCTCTTTCCCAAGATGGCAACACAGTGACTGAATCACTCGAAGCTGTAAATGTGTGAACAGATAACGTTAACCATATCTGAAGAATGAGAAATTGGCAGGAACTAAAGTAAAAGCCGCTGGGACAATTCCATACAACTCCCTCACACCCCACCCACTATGGCCTGCAGGGCACAGCACAGGGTGAACAGGCCACATTTCCGATAGCAACAACGGATCTGGTCAGAGAAAAATGTTTGCCCATCAGAGAGAAAGAGCCAGAGACCTACGGCTTTAATAACAGTGAGCCTGTGCTACAGAGAAAGGCAATTGCAGTTACAATTTTCTTTCATGCCCTGCTCTCTGTTGCCTGGAAATTACTGACTCATGGTTTTATTTCTGCACTTTGGAGCTCAGGATGCAATTATAGGAACACCTTCTAAAATTCATGAGTGTTTTGTATTCATAGGAATTCAGATACCATAACTCTCCTACTAAATTAACTGCCTGGAGTAGGTTTCCAAATCAAAAGAATTTTCTAACATTCATGTGGACATGAAGTTCTCTCTTCTACTAGAAAGATAAATTCTGTGAATGAAAGTAATCTAATAAAACACTAAAACTGCAGAATTCCTTTTTATTACGTCCTAAGGCCTACGGTAGTTCAGGAATTGCTAAAATGGCCACCTTCTTCTAGTCAAGGGGTCCCCAGGAGAACAAAGCAGTGATTTTCAGAATGCCATAAAAAAGAATGTAGAAAAATCTAAGTGGGTCAAAAGGTTTTTTTGGTTTTTATTTACTTGTTTGTTTCCACGTATTACTATTTCTAAATGTGAAGCTACACAAATGAGTCATCAGATATGTAACGTGAAATGTTACAGATGTTAAATATAAAATCATCCTACACATACTGCAGACAGCCATTGGGATATGTGAGTAATTTTCAGGTTGATAAGTTAGGGTGGAATGACTGCTGGCAATGTGAGTTTCAAAAGGAAATTATTGCTCTCATAGATAAAATGAGTTCCTGAAAAAAGGTTTCAAAATATGTTCTGTGAAAGAGAGAAATCTTGGTGGTAACCTTTGTTTTCTGATTATTTCTACCTTACCTTACCTTTCTAATACAAAAATATTGATAATATATTCAAGTATCTAGTTTCACTGTTAACCTAAGAGAGGAATCAAATTTTACTGTTTGTCATAACATATTACATGATCAAGTAATTTATAATTAAATATCAGAAACCTGGATCTGTGCAATAAAATTATCTTAGGAATACAGAGGGGAAAAAATTGTGAATTGGTGACTATCTAAACCACAGAATGCTTTAAGGCAATAGTTGTGTTACCTTTAAGTATTTGAAATAACACTAATGGCTATAAGAAAAAATTATAGTTTATGTAGGACACTGCTATATTTCATTATCTCTGAATGGATGGGGTATGAAGTATCCCATAATGAGTGATAAAACCCATGAGGAGTTTAAAACTGTGCTGGCATCAAATACCACCTCTGAAATCTTGCAACAGGTTGTGGAAGACAGAATAGATGACTCACAAAGTTAGGAGGTTATACAAAAATGTATGCTGCTAAAGTGCTTTGAAAAGCTCTCAAAAACCATGTTATTCCCTAAGCAAGCTAAACATCCACCCACAATCATGTTCAAATTACTAATTTCTTTGACAAGCCTCCCTTCTTCTCCTGCTGCTTTTCCTTTGAACAGGTCAAATTTGAACCAGCTCTATGTCAATACAGATTCTGTTTCAGAGAATTGTGAATACAAATGAAATGTTCACTATTTAATTTTTCCATCTTATTGGATGTTTTCATAAAAATGGAAACTTTCAACAAAGTAATATAGTGCTTACATGTTTACTGATAAGAACATGAGAAGAATTATATCATAACTTGTGTTTTCTATTAGCTTTCTATAAAGTTAAAATCTCTCTACCTGAAGAAATATCTTCTTTTTTTAACTACTGCTTTTCATGTAATTTTTCATAGAATTTAAAATATCTTCTTTACAGGAAGCAATCTTATGCTAATCTAAAAATGCCAAGTAATAAGTTCTTTTGATTTCCAATAGAAATAAATAGGAAAGCAAATAACTTTTAAAACCTGATATACAATGTTCTGTATTTATAGTAGCTCAGTGTGGTGAATTCTACTACTAAACTCTATCAGTAAAGATGTCAACATCATGCTAATCAGAGGGACTAAAGCAACTTCTCTATCAATTATTAAAATATCACATATTATAAACCTTTTAACTTAATCAACTTCCATTTCTGCTTCCACTAGCAAAACAATTTTAAAGTACATGTCTTGATTTAATTAAAGTAAATTTAAAATTTTTACTTTAAATGGAAGCATTTTGCCTATCAAATGAACAATGATAAAAAAAAATGTTAACAAGAAGATGGGGTATTTGTTAAATCAGGAACTTTATAAGATGCTACTATTTGACCCAGCAATTATACTTTCAGAAATCTCTTGAGTACTATTGCAATTATCAGAAAAGCAGAAAAAGATGATCAAAAAGATGTTCAATATAGTATTATTTATAATTGTAAAAATTCAAAAAATACTAAGAAGACTACAATGGGGATAAAAATTTTGAGAAACAGTAAAAATTAAACATGCTTATGAGACAAGGTTAAGAGAAAACAGGAATACACAGAGATAAATTGATTCACCATCATAAAATGTTTTTCAAAAAGTGGACTGTCAAATCAGAAACAGAAAATCAAATACTACAGGTTCTCTTTCATAAGTGAGAGCTAAATAATGGGTACACATGAACATAAAGATGAAAACAAGAAACTGTGGGGACTCCAAAAGGTGTGAGGAAGGGAGGAAAGGTTTGAAAAACTACCTGTTGGGTACTATTTTCACTATTTGGGTGATGGGTTCACTAGAAGCCCAAACCCTAGAATTATGCAATATATCCATGAAATAAACCTGCAAATGTATCCCTGAATCTATAACAACAACAAAAAAGAGATATGTAGAAAGACATACATATTACAAAATTAATAATGTATTGCTGAGAGGTGAGAGTACAGAAACTTTATTTGTTTATATTTTATGTAAGTAAGTTAACTATCTCTATACATAACCTGTAAAATGAAAAAACAGTGATTTAAAAAGATGCAAAATTTATGGTTTTTGAAAATCACATTTAAATGCATTGCATTTTATGGGGCTTCTATATTTAAATTAAGACAGAGTTGACACAGTTCTTAACACACAAGTTTTTTCTACAATCTCCTCTCTAGCAGTAACACTGCAATGACTTCATTTTTTCTTAATATTATACACCCATTTTTGCCCTTTTAAATAGAATTGAAATTTTTGCTTACTTTACCACAATATTTCCTAAACACCGAGCCTTCAGTTTTTGCATGTTGTCATCCAAAATCATAACTGCAAAGTAAAATATAAATATTTGAATAAAAATAGCCTTAAAGCTTAAGCATATTTCTATAATTTTTATATTCAACCCCAAAAATCTCTAGCTTAAGAAAGTAATCTTTTAATTCCTTGAGACTGTGAACATATATAAACTAAAATATCTTACAAAAAGAAAAAAAAAAGAGCACATGTATTTGATTCCTAACATCAGACATTTTCTTTAAGAATGTCCTTTAAATGAAGAGATCACACCTCAAATATGTGGTAATTTTATGTCTATGTCCACTAAATATATCCCTGTAGTCTATTTGAAGCATTAAAAATGTGTTCAGCTTTTTTTAAAGTAAAGGAAACGAAGTTTTCAAATACACCAAAAAATATTATGTGCAACAAAAATAAAACGCTTACAAGAACCATAAACCCCTTATTCTGATTTAAAGCTTAATATCCATTTAGGAGCTTTAAATTAGGTCAATTTAATCTTCCCCAATATTATCTCAATACTTTCTATGCTGTCCCGATAAAATCCTAAACGAGTTTAGGAGATCAAAGCTTGTATTCACATTCAGTAACCCCTGGTGCAAACTAAATATGAAGATAAGTCATCATCTTCTAGGTTTTAATAGATTATTACATGTAGCCTCATTCATCCAGGTAATTCTACCTTAAGCAACTATGAGAAAAGGAGGATGCTGGTCTCAGAAAAAAAAAAAATGTCCCCTCTTTGTGTTCCTGGAGCATTTTGTTTTAAAATTCTGTACTGACAATTAGTAGAAGTACCTATATCTCACTAGGTTGTGAGTTCACAGAGGCCAGGGCTAACACATCTTTGTTTTCCTAAATATCAGTATAGTGAACAAATCACTGTATGCCCCTGCACACATTCTGTTATCCATTCAGTTTCCTGGGCTATGAAATGAGAAATTTATTTCTCATAGAGCTTATGCAAGAAGTATTTTTAAAATGTATATGAAACAACAAGCTTGTATATGGTACTCAATAAATGTGTTATATTAAATTAAATGTTTTTTATACACAACGGTTTCTCTCCTTTCCTAAAAGGATCATGTCTTATACTACAGAATATTACATTAGGTTTAATCTCTAAATAATCATGTTATAAAAATACATAAAAAATCATCAATCATAAAGTCACTGGTTCCTTGGTTATAAATGTTTAAGCTGTACTGTCTGCAAGCCAGTTGCTTTCAGACAATGAGAAACTTCTGTATTCAAGTTCCATGGGCATCAAAGCTTAACTATTTCTTACAATTAGATATAAAAATGGTACTGAAATGCTAACAGAGAAATGTGTTTAACATCTTCCACAATCAGAAACTCCTAAAAACGTTTCAACACAAAAGCAATCTTTCTGATAAAAGGAGCAGAGATGACAGACTGTTCAAACAGAGGATTTCACAAAATCTGGGTTCATCACCTTTCCAGGGCTGGAGAAGTCACTGACTTCACAGAATATCTATTTCTGCCCTGAATAAAAAAATCTAAAGCATCTTTTAATAAATATATCTACTAGGTTAAACCAAATGATCCATGTTCTTGTAACTAGTCATTGTCCTAGAAGGAAAATCCAGTATTTTTATGTTAGAGAAGCAAAAGACAAATCTCTGCATTTTGTAATTTATATGCAAATAAGAAACATGTCAGGAATCATATTTTGTTTCCCAAAGCTGGGTTTTCTTCATAAGTCTATTAAGCCAAATTGTGTCACCTTATGCAAATTACAAAACCTCTGTGCCTCATTTTCCTTGTCTGTAAAATGAATACGTGAATCTAAATCAAGTCAGTCCTCTGGCTTTTTTGAAATATTAGTAACACTACTAGCTAAGTCTTACACTGTCTTTATACTGGTAGGCACTGGGTTAATGATTTGTTGCATAACAACACAGAGCAGAAGCCCTGGAAAGCATATAGAAAATATTATTCCTATTTAGAAATAAGAAAACAATGTTTGAAAAGTTAAATGACTTGTATAATTCATATACCTCAGGAGAGCTGTTCAAGGGAAATTATTTAATAATGATTACTACCAAATATTTAAAACCAAAAATTGACAGACTATTATAGCTTTTAGTCATATAAAGCCAGCATCAAAGAAATGCTTTCTTTTGGAATCCTCCCTCTTTTCATTTATTTATTTATTCATTTATTTCTTTATTTAGAGAGTCTTGTTGTGCCTCGCCTAGGCTGGAGTGCAGTGGCACGATCTCAGCTCACTGCAACCTCAGCCTCCTGGGGTCTAGCAATTCTCCTGCTTTAGTCTTCCAGGTAGCTGGGATTACAGGCACAAGCCACCATGCCTGGTGAATTTTTGTATATTTAATAGAGATGGGTTTCACCACGTTGGCCAGGCTGTTCTCAAACTCCCTGACATCAGGTGATCCACCCGCCTTGGCCTCCCAGAATGTTGGGATTACAGGTATAAGCCACCACTCCTGGCCTGTTTTTATTTTTAAATGATAAGGTTTAAAAACTTCTAAATAAGTCTTCACTTCTAAATTAAAAGGCAGCATGTGTAATATATAATAAGAAACTACAGCTTTTGAAATGAAAGCAAGCAAATTCTGAGGGCAATGGTTTGCACTGTCCCCAGTATCTAACTAGCAGTGTTACCTTAAGAAGATGATTTAGCCTGTTAAGTAGTTGGTTAACGCATCTCTAAAATAGTAATAATAGCTCTGGATTAAATACACTTCGGCATGAAATGAAATTATGTATATAAAGTACTGGGCCCCCTGCAAGTGTTTCCTTCATAGTAATTTCACACCCATATTTCTAGCCTATCTTACAAATGATATTATTTTGGGGGTTATGACAGTCATTTAGAACATATTCTGGAAATCAACAACCTTACTTTTGACAGAAAAAACTAAGGCATTCCTTTTTAATACAAGATATTCATTCATCCAAATTCTTATTGAGCATCTAGTTCATTTCATGCAACATAATACACACTAGATTCAAGAAAAGGCCAAATTTATTAACATTACATATTATCAGGGTCATTCCTTACCATTGTATCCTGGAACACTTTTTCCTGCTTGCCCTGGTGGAGGTGTTTTAGAATTGCCTAATCCAATGCATGATGCCGTAATTGGAGATCCAGTCTCTGGAGAAAGAAATGCTATTAATCACTTCATGTTTTAACTCAGAATCATGTTTCTTGAGTGCATGCACACTCTACCCCACCCTAGTTTGGCACATGATGTAGTTGTATTAGGAATAGATGAATAATACAAATATATTATTTAAAAATTTAAAACTAGTAACCTATATATCTACAGTATTAAAACTTAATAATTCATATTTGTAATAATTTATATAGTAGTGCTTCTTCTGAAGAAAAGAAAGACTGCTCCAGTGTTTTCAATTGTGGATCAGCAGGCGTGAAGAATGAAAAATTACGTGACTGCAATGGTTCTATAATACACCTTAAAAGCTAAAATGATCACTAGAAAAGATGCTTTCTCTTGACTCACCTAAAGTTATTTTGTTTATCATTGTTAATTACAGTTGTGTCAAAATATTTTTGTTATTTGTACTTTATTCTCTGGAATAAGTAACCCAAAGATTTTTGATATTATTAGGTTGATGCAAAAGTAATTGCAGTTTCTACCATTACTTTTAATATATAATAATATCATTCTCTAATTTCCCAAGAACTACACTCGCTTACAGAACTTGCATCTAAAGCTGAATTTGGCAATACTTTATCAAGTTGTTCAGAATCTGCTGTTCCCGGACATTAGAAGCCCCAAAACACAGGAAGGAAGAAAATTATAGTCTACTGACTATTCCATCAAAACCACAAACTTTTTCACAACTAACCTCAATGATTGACAAAAAGGCTAATTTGTTTTGTGTCTCAAGTTGTAACATCAGAATATTAGCTATTACCTGATAACCATAAGTCCTGAAAGTGGTTCTTTTTAATGGAGGAATGCACCTATTAACATTGATTGATAAAAGCAAGTTTGGAGTGAACACAATCTCTTAAATATGAAATATATATGTATGAAAGGGCAGGAAAACAGTATTGGGATAGTGAAAAGTTTGGGAATTACTGGCTTAGTATTATACACATAACCTATACGTACATATACCCATGGAATTAACTGTCAAACCCATCATACCCAAAGTAATCCAAAAAATTAAAGGTATCCATCTTCTGAAGTACTCAGAATATGTTTCTTCTACCATGTGCTCTACTATAATTTATCACATATTTATATAAGTTTAGAATTATGGGAAGAATTTATTACTGTTCTTTACTTTCCAGAGTAGTTCACTTTATTATTCACATTTTATGGATGGTGGCTCAGCTGGCATCAATAACAGAATATGAACTCTTGAACATCAAAACACAGTCCTAAGTCACAGTCTAGTGCTTAAGATGCTAAACCATATGGTCACCGCTGAGGATCATCAGCAAGTAACCAGAGCAGACATTTCTGATGTTTAACAAAGAGTTCTCAAGTATTTTCCAAGCCTGATCCCCAAAAAGGAAGATATTTTATGAAATGGCAATCCATAGCCATGTAATACTCCTGCCAATTTTCCCCACGACATAATCAAAGCAAGGGAGGAAGTCTGCATGGACAGAAGCATTAACAGCTTTTCCCTTTTTGTTTTTTCAGAAATGTCCAGGTTCTTACCTTCAGCTATCCTTTACAATAGGCATGAGAGGCAAGAGGAGGGGTGATGACAGGAAGTAGTCTTACAGAGTGAGGTGCTTCAAGAAGATACGCAGAATGAGTAAGATGATAATGGGAAGAGAAACTACTCAGACACGTTAGGAACGGAGATACCAGTTTGAGGATGCTTTTGTTACGTATACCACCCCGGTGCCAGGAAGCTGCTAACGTAAATTTATTTCAGAAGTATTTCTTACCAAGTTTAGTTTGTCAACAGGGACACTCCAGTTACCTGGAGTTCAGACTCTCTACAGTTCTTAACACCATAGAGCTTTTACAGCTTGTCAACAGATGGCTCTAGAATCTAAAGTGTACCTACCAAGGACTCTTGTACCTACTGCCTAAAAGAAAAACAAACAAAAACCCACCACAAGAAATCTCTAGCTGCACCTTACTCTGTCCCACCTCAGTATGAATTCTCATGAAAGATGTTATCACTCTGTTCTTGCTATCACACTGGGAGAAGGGGAATGTAGGGAAAGAAGGTGAGAATATAAACTAGTCTTAAATAAAGCTGCAAGACTGTAAGAAAGGATTAGTGAAGTATTGTCCATATTCACTGCCTAAGCAAGCTGATATACAAACCTCCTGAGATTCCCAAGCATTTTTCTATAGTAATTATTCATTTATAATCCCAATCCTTTTTATACATTATAAGACAACTAGGAAAAGCTTATTTTTCTATATGATTAATTTGATTAATTATATATTTTCTATATAATTAATCTTAAGGATGCTGAAATGATGTTACCTAAAGTACATAATACGTGCTTATAATTTGCACATTAGTAATTCAAGTACCCTGTTGACCTTGTTTTGATTGATTCATTCAGAGGATTAGAAAAAGAACTATTGCTGGCCGGGCTTGGCAGCTCATGTCTATAATTTCAGCACTTTGGGAGGCTGAGGTGGGTGTATCATCAGAGATCAGGAGTTCGCAACCAGCCTGGCTAACATGGTGAAACCCTGTCTCTATTAAAAATACAAAAATTAGCACAATCCCAGCTGCTTGGGAGGCTGAGGCAGGAAAATTGTTTGAACTCGAGAGGTAGAGGTTGTGGTGAGGCAAGATCCAGCTTGGGTGACAGAGCGAGACTCTGGAGGGGAGGGGAGAGAAGACAGAAGAGAGAAAAGAACAGAAAAGAACCATTGCCTGTGATGTGTAGACAATGGCAGTTCCTAGGACTCTAAGCATATTAAGGAATCATAGAAAGGATAAAAGTGAACTGAAAAAGATCGTAATTGTTGTTACAGATACGTTGGCCCTCCTTCTTTGTACCTCTGAACATCCTGGGACCCAAGGACTGACTCATCTTCAACATAAACATATACATTTTTTCTCACACACTCATGAATACAGACGAGATAAACACCCTTGCTCTCAAACTGGTCCATGTGCAGAATAGGCTTCAGGTTAGTGACAGCCCCTAAGCATGCTACAATCCTTCCTGAAATCCTATGGACTCCCAAAGCCCCATTTCAAAGATGTTCTAAAAACATCTGCTTCATACTACCCAGCCTATAATTAAGTGGCTAGCAGTTATCTAGGGAGACAAGAAATCTAGATATCACGTTGTAATTGGGAAATAGCTACAATAAACAAACCAGAGCATTTTCTTTGTGGAAGAGCATTGGATACTCATTTAGAGACATCTACACAAAAGCACCTAGCCTTAGAAACACAAAATCTCCTGCAAATCATCAGCATAGCTTCTTTAGATAAGAGGCAGCTAGGAAAAAGATGACAGGGAATTGAAGGGTGTGAAGAATGTCACCTTAGCACATTTACACTAATACTGCATTAGAAGCTAATAGAGAAATTTCTCTGTTTTCAAAAAAGGACAAACTTCATAGTATCTTCACTGCATGCCTTTACTGACTCATTCCACTTTTGTATAACAAGTTGTTACCTAAATGAATTTTCTTTAAAATTTCTAACTCTGAAGTAAAAACAGGGACGACAACTAGAATCATATTTCTTCAAATATGAATTATGTTACATACCAAAACTTAAGTGCTTTTAATCTAAGTAATTGTGCTTAGTCCCACCACAAGACTGTAGGGAGAAAAGGTAATATTATTTTTACTGATAAAAAATTCTGAGGCTTAGCCAAAAAAATTTAAACAAACTGTTCTCGTTTTCATAGTTTTTTTTTCAAAGGAGAAGAATGAAATAGACAAGTAGCACTTCTGAAGTTCTCAAGTAAAAGAGGATGAGCAGGGAATAAAATCACCTAGACTGTGTCTCAGTAGAGGAAGAAAAATCCCTGTTGACAGGGACTGAGCCCAGTCTCCCATACTTGCAAACGGCAGTAGTGGTGGTACAAATCACCTACTAGCAAAGAGTTTTTGAGCAGCTACTATGTGCTAGGTGGTGGTGTTAGAACTGGACATACAACAATAAACAAAAGTAGCCAAAATTTCTACCCTCATGGAGACCTCCCAATTTCTAAGTAGAAGGCAATGAACAACATATTATACAAAAGTAAAAACATATTGTGCATAAAAGAGTGATAAATACTAAGGGAAAAGAAACATAAACAGAGTCTGAAATGTCATGGAGAGGAGTCACAATTTTGTATTGAACAGGAAAGACCTCCCTGAGTAGGTGACATTTAAGTAAACACCTGAAAGAAGAGAGGATGTGTGACACTTATTTAGGGGAAAAGAATAGAAGAGAAGGAAACCTCAAGTTCAGAGGTCCTGAGTTGGGTTTATTCCTAGATTGTTTGGGAACAGTGAGGGAGCCAATGTGACTGAAACAGAATCACAGAATTAACAGAAAGTATTAATAGGAAATAAGGTCAGAGAAATATTGAGGAGGCAGATCATGCAAGAACACTTTAGATTCATCCTAAGACCTTAGTCTCAGTGATATTGTAAGCTAGTGAGGTTTTGAACAAAACGTTAATAAATCATAACAATGTAAATGTAATTTATTTAAATAGTTACACACCATTCGGGTTCCATCTACATGTTTATTTTATTTGGGCTGCAAGAGAGATAGATGTGTAGTAGGAAATGCAGAGACAGACAGAACTGTATTAGAATAATTGGTTAATAGATTTCTGTGGCTTCCTAAACATCAGGGACCAATTCACATGATTATTCACAAGATTGGCAGAAAGACTAGGGCTGAGTTGTATGGTTGATGACAGACAGACTGTGGGTAGATGGTCTGCATAAACCAAAGATAATCAGTCCTTTTTGTTACATAAGTGTGAGCATGTATAATACTGATAATTTCTAAAAGACACTTTGACAACTCTTATGAAAAATACTTTATCTACCCATTTTGACATGTGATTATTATGCATTCCATGCCTGTATATTTCATACAACCTATAAATATATACATCATCCATCCACAAAAATTGAAATTAAAAAAAAAAAAAAGAGGCTCATTACTACATTC